AAAGTTCGACATTCCAACCACCTGACGAAGGCCGGAGCGTACAACGGCCGAAACGTTGTAATAAATATGGCGACAAATATGAGGACAATAGTCCGAATAATGTAAATAATGTATATAATACCTCATCTCAGAAATATAGACAGATAATAATCAGTTTGTCTGATTATCGCAAAAGAGGGTCAAAGAATCACATCACTCCAACTATATATATATATATATATATATATATAATCATGTATATATATATATATATATATATATATATATATATCGATGATTGTTCCTACATAAATAATGCAACTATTAATTAATATGTGTTTGCTTAGATGTTCTGGGTGTGAATCGCTTTCGATTTCACTTTGGATTAATTCATAATACCTGCGTCAATATTTGCTATAACCGTCAGTGTTTATCATATTTTCTCTCTCTCTTTTCTTTCTCTCTCTGTTTCATTTTGATATATATATATATATATATATATATATATATATATATATATATATAGAGAGAGAGAAGAGAAAACAGAAATAATTAGTAGGACTTGAAATAATCATAATTGAGTAATTCATCGAGTCTAGAAGAAACTTCAACAGAATGCAGAAACCGCTGGACAGACGTTTCGTCCCATATATATATATATATATATATATATATATATATATATATATATATATATATATATATATATTTTAATATATTTTTATGTTTATACATTCTTTTTATAGATATAAATATAATTATCGGACTTTGTCCATTTCATGATATGATTTTCATATATATATATATATATATATATATATATATATATATATATATATATATATGTGTGTGTGTGTGTGTGTGTGTAAGGTAATTTCCTCCATCGAACTGACGGTCTGTTGAGTGATATGTGCATAACCCAGTCGTTGTTCTCGGATATCATTTCTAAATTAGACCCCACGTTCGTTTCGCAGTCCTCCTCACGCTTTTTAGCAGGAGTATTGTAGACGAAGAAAAAATAATGAACGACAGGCGAAATTGTCGACATGATGAAAAAGAGACAAAAAGTACGGAACAGAATACAGGAAGCTGTACATAGAAATAAAAAACAGATTCAGGTAGGCTAAAGAGGAACGGCTCAACGAAAAATGTCCAGGAAGAGAAAAGAATGAGTATCACAAATAAAGTAGACATACGAGAATAAGAGAAGAGTTTCTCTCAATCCGTTTCTCTCTTATAATCTATATGGAGAAGCTTGAGCCGTGGTTCTGGACATCTCTAAAGAGTTTCATAGGATCTGGCGTGCCGGCCTTTTTCATAAGCTTCAGGGATACGGTATTAGAAGACACTGGCTCACTGGGTCGTGCCAGAAGGTTTTTCTTGTCAGAGTCCATCTTACATACATACAAATCTACCATTCGTCCTTGCATCGAATACCATTTCCCTATATTGTCTGGTGTCCCTACTGTTCATCTCGAGGGTCTCGACAAAGTCAAAAGATGAATGTGGTTGATCCTGATTTGGCATCTTGTCCCTTTCTCACATAATGTGGCTTCCCTCTGTCTTTACTACAAATATTTTCATGGCAACTGTTCTATCGATTTTTTTCCTTGGTACCCCGACTACAGCTTCTTTTCTCACACTTCCCGCCTGTGGAACTCCTTTCCATTTACTTGCCTCCTTGGTAACTACAATCTTCAAAAATTTAAATGCAATGTCAAATCGCCACCTTCTGTTGTCTTGAAACCTTTTTATCTTTTATCCTTTCCTCATTTCCCCTATACACAGTTTTTTCTCACCTTCAATCTATGTAACCCACTTGCGAACCCATAACAATTCCGCCTTGCTTGGGGTGAAATGCTTAATTATATATATATATATATATATATATATATATATATATATATATATATATATATATATATATAAAGAACAGTGAAGTCAACAATCAGAGCGACAGATTGTTTCATGCTAAACGCAATCCTCAAGTGGCCAGAAGATTGCGTTTAGCACGAAACAGTCTGTCACCTCTGAGTGCAGACTTCAATGCTCACATTTATATTTACATACGCTCTGATATTGAGCACTTTAGCCCATAATATAGCGCACCTTAAAACTCTATTTAATCATACATATACAGGTTGTTGGAGCAAAATCCGCCACTTTGATAAAAGAAAACGAAATAGGCAATAAAAACAAAAGTTGTATATGCAGAGACCCGACAGATTATTTAGTAACAGTTAGAGTAACATACTACATTATTTTTCAATGTAACCGGCGCCGGCGGCGACGACCATCTCAAGGCGGGCGCAAAATGAGTCACACGCTTTGGTGACCATGTCCTTGTCCATACCAGCGAACGCCTCCATGATGGCAGCCTTTCGGAGAATCGACCGTGTTGTGGACGTGCTTGTTAGTCTTGGCCTCGATCACGACCCAGAAGAAATAGTCAAGGGGGTTGCAGTCCGGTGAGGAGGGCGAACACAAGTCCGGTGACCAGTGGTGAGGAACATTGTTGAGC